AGGGAGATTATTAATGATTTTCATAATTTATTGAGTGTTTCTTTGTCCAGGTTTCTTCTTGTAATACACATGTGCAGGTGCTTTGGCTTTTAATTGATGTGTACGAAGATAATTCTGGATGTGCTAAAAAAACAGGGTTAGTGGAATGCATGTAGACTTGAATTTACACTGTCCCATCTGACCAAAATATTGTACACTGTGGACAGAGGGACCCATTTGATCGGTGAACTGCAAGTCCTTAGTTATGGTGAAAGTAAACATTGTTACACGATGCAGTTTTTTTTTTTCCAGTGATCACTTTTGTACAAAGGAGCCCTTGAGTTAATGAAGAGCTGTCATTGGAACTGTACAGGACATTTCATAGTACACTAATATACAGTTCTTACGCGCTCTGGCACTTTGCTAATGTATCTATTGAGTACTGTAGAGAATACCTCATTCATCTTGATCAGTTGGATTTGAATTAAGCATCATTGCAAAAAAAACCCTAGAAAGATCCCAATATTGTCCAATCACTGGAATTCCTAATGGACAATTTTTAAGTCATTCAAGTATATTTCTATTTTAAACTGAATCACAATGCACTTGTTAGGACTAAAAATAAGATTCTGTTGAAGTACTGTCAGGACTACTGATAGTAGTAACAATTCTTGTCGTAATAAGTACACATTTTTGAGGTACAGATGTAAATATTAATGTTTAAAACATAGCACACATTGCATATTGAAATGGTTTTAATCTTCTTTGTCTTCCATAGTGTTCAATCCAGGCTTTTATTAATTTATGAGATGGATAAGTTCTGCAAACCTGAATGTGCAGTCTTAGACTTTTAACATTTGAAACTTTGCACAATTAATGTTATGTTACCTGAAGTACATGGTTTAACTAAGCTGTTCATGTATATGGTACTACAAAATGAAGCAGAGGATTTTCCCTGTTCGCAAATTTAAATGAACTATATTGTATATGTACTTGTAAAAAATGTGTTAAATCTATATTTAAAACTCAAACATTGTTAAATAAAGAAATTCATATGAGAATGTTTAATTCTATCCTAAAAGCTTCTGCACTTTGCCTTTACAAAGGCAGTTACATTTCATTTCTTCCTAACAGCCCTAATTGTACATGTTCTGACTGCAAATAATGTGCA